GCATTACCTTTCGGATAAAAAAAGAATTATCCAAATCGGTCCACTAGCGGCGGAGTTATGCCGTAACACACATAAAAAAAAATAAAAAAAATAAACATACCGTCGAATTGAATACCTCCTTCTTTTGGGAAGTCGGTCAAAAAAAATTGGAAACAAACTTGAAATATACATATTACAAGCGACGCGCCCCTTCTTCCAATGGATACATGTTAAAGTCGAAAATCGAGATAAAAACATTCCTATCGTTTAAATTTTTATCAAGATTGATCTTGCTGCTACCGTCTTTATATAATCTTGAATAATAACTCATAAAAATGATACAAAACAAAACAAAATAAATCCATTAAATTTTAAGGCATTTTAATGTTTTTTTTTAATTTTTTTTAGGTCATACACGTCTTATGTCATCCGAATATCCTACTGTAGTTTCATCAAGATTTGTCCATATTTTGAAACGTTTAAAAGATATACAAACATTCATCACCAGCTCACTGTAGCTCCCCACCGAGGGGCTCGGAGCCTACCCTAAGTTATGGTGCCTAGGACGTAGTCAACCACGCTGGTCCACTGCGGGTTGGTTGCATCACAATGTTTTCCTTCACCGTAAGACCGTCGCGTTTATTGTACGTATGAATATTTGAAAAATAGAAAATCACATTAGTACACTGCGGGATTCGAACTCAAAACCTGTTGATTACAAAATTACAAGTCAAGTGTTCAAACCACTGAGCCACCGACGCTCCAACATCGATTTTTACTTATTAAGTCGCTACACAACAATCTAATAGCAAGAATCATTTTATCATAAGATGGACACGAACTCAGAGGTTATGATTTTTGGCGTTCATTTTGCTACGAGTTTGATCAGAAGTGTGTCGGACTGGGCGTCTCCATTAATATATTAAATTTTAACTTCCGTGATTGTGTAAAAAGTTCACTTAACATCATGGAAAATACAACTGGTAGGATATACAATTAAAATTATTATTGTTTCGTCTTAATATAGGTTTAGATGAAATTGTGTGTACAAACAATCTATTGCATAAGTTAATTTATTCCTTACACACCCATTTCCGCTACGCGATATAGAGAAATCAACCGGATTAGGAACATAAGGCAAACTAGAGATGATTTCCCAAGCTTAGTCCAGGCTCCTGGTCTTCAATTCAGCCCAGCATCACTATAATATAGTGAGATAGAGATATCTTTTTATTCATCAGTGAAACACTTTCCCAGTTACCTTTTCATTCATAGATTTTCTATATCTCCTTCTCTGGGTACCCTCTCCTAATAAACTGGCCACCAAGGGGGTTTTATGGGATTAAACCCCACATATCCCTGTCTTCCCCCCCAGAAGGTAGACTATCTTTTCTATCGCTCCCGATACCAAAAAGAGGGTAGCAAGACTATAACAGACTTATCGTACCCGACCCAGAAAATAAAACTACAATAAATTGCTCCACTTGTTAATGTAAAAAAGTATCAAAGAAAACTATTCATGGAACCACTATCTCCTACTTAATTACTATTTGTTTTATGTTATGCAATATGATGAGGTGTTTTATATTTCTAGTCTGAGTATAGCTGTCTTAGCTTCTAGTAATTTTTGCTGTTTATTTACTTGGATACTGTGAATTAGTCTTTGAGTCTTTATTTTAAGACTCTACAACTCAATGGTAATGCAGGACGTAAAGTAAGGCCAATTATGAGGTAGGAAACTATCGGCCCTTAATGCTTATATTAACAAAAAAAATAATGAAAACACCCACAAATTTGCTTAACTGATATGACCCAGTTTGTAAATTCGTGGTAAAAACAACGTAATCAATTACTATATATAAGATTAGGCTTGTCTTCGTTGACTGTAAATGTCCGCAAGGTTGAATATATTTTCAATAAACTATTTAATACATGGATGAAATTTAAAAGTATAATCCGTAAGATTAGTCTTAAAGTAATATTTGAGATTCCGCTTAAGCTTTATTAAGTCGTAATCTCACTGGGTCATATGTTACATAATCTATACTATTATAATAAAGCGTAAACACACACTTCTTTGTTGCCTAAGATGTCAACAATTACAGCATATTTTTGAATAATTCTTTTTTTTAATAAAAAGCCCTACACTTACGTAATGTTTTAGGTTATATGTTTTTTAGTGAGTAAATATTTTGGATAAAAACCCTAATGTGGGAAAGAGACCATAAGTTGCTGTCAACATTGAGAAAGAAAGATTGCTAAGGTTCGTCGTGTCATGTCATTTTGACATTTGCTATTGATAATTTGACAGCTGTAATATTGACAAAAGTTTTTATAATTTCATGCGGATGGAGCCGCACGGGAACAGCTAGTTTAAAAATAAACCTGAACAAGAATCGAATTAAATAACACATTAAAATCAATCAAATTTACGGTCCTGTGTTTATAAATGAACGTTATACAAACGTACAAACATTATGCATTAAACATATATCCGTGATAATGCCAAACATGTTTGCTTAAAAAACGCTATCTCAGAAAATACATAGATTAGTAAACGCATTATCTAAATGAATTAATTGCAACGCCATGTGAACTCGTTAATGACAAAATTCATGTCATCTGTTGCCACTTGGCCAGTTTCGCCAGTAGCTAGCCAGACATGGATTGTATAGACTCACCGTCGCCAGTGTTCATATTCTGCCCAGTCCAGTTACTGCGCGCTATCCAACTGTACTGGCCTAGTGTGAACCAAGCATTAGATTAATGCAAAAATTTTATTAAACATTTTGTTCTGTGAGATTGATTTAGATTTTAAATGTTTAATCCATATAACAAAGGAGTGAGATTTTTACTTGATATGTCGCCTAATCATACTAATATTATAAATGTGAAAGTGTAGATGGATGGATGGATGGATGTTTGTTAGAGTTTGTAGCCTTAACGGCTGAACGGATTTCGATGAAATTTGGTAAAAACGTAGAGGATAGTCTGGAAGAATATGTTCTTGTTCGTTGTTGTAGGCTACTCACTTTTTTTTAATTCCACGCGGACGATGTCGCAAGCAAAAGCTAGTTTTTTTTATAAAAGAAACATTCAAAAGAATTGATGAAAATTAATAGGCAATATTATCTTAGAATTCGTTGTTCTAAAACTATCGTTTCCACCACAATTCGCTTCGCGACTTATTGAACGATGAATGATATTGAATGACGAATCGATAAATATCACAACATCCCGCCGATCGTTTGCCTCCTTTTCGTATAAAACACTACTGCCTTCAATTTCTCTCGGGTCGGAAACTTATTGCACCATTAGCTGTACCCATGCGGCTTCATCCTCATGATATTATGAACATTTTATTTTATTGTTTATATTTGTCAAATTATCAATAGCAAAAGTCAAAATGAAATGATATGACATGACAAACCTTAGCAATCTTTCTTTCTTGATGTTGGCAGCAACTTATGGTCTGTTTCCCACATTAGGGTTTTTATCTGAAATAGTTTAATGGCCTAAGTTTAATGGCGTGAAAATATATAGCCTAAAGCATGACGTAAGTGTAGAACTTTTTATTAAAAAAAGGATTATTCAAAAATATGCTGTAATTGCTGACATCTTAAGCAACAAAGAAGTGGATGTTTACGTTTTATTATTATATAATACTAGCTGTTCCCGTGCGGCTTCATCCGCATGATATTGTAAACACTTTATTTCACTGTTTAAATTTGTCAAATTCTCAATTGCTAATGTCAAAATTACTATTACCCACATGAGAGTTTTTCCAATTTAGTTACCCCCCGAGTTTAATAGCGTGAAAATATATAGCCTAAAGCATGACGTAAGTGTAGGGCTTTTTATTAAAAAAATAATTAAAAAAAAATATGCTGTAATTGCTGACATCTTAAGCAACAAAGAAGTGGGTGTTTACGCTTTATTATAATAGTATAGATATAGATATTTGCAGTTTCCACTAATATGACCGTGAACACATTTTTTTTTTTTTTTTTTTT